GAGGAGAGGAGAGGAGAGGAGAGGAGAGGAGAGGATAAGAGAGGAGAGGAGAGGAGAGGAGAGATAGGAAGAGAATGGAAGAGGTGAGATGGCAGCAAGACGGGAACGGAGGAGGAAGGGAACTGGTAGAAACAGGATGAGGACGAGGAGGCAGGGAGGGAGGATAGACGGCAGGATGGCAGCACCGGAGGAAAGGAGGGAGTAGCGAAGGACTGAAAGATAGAGGGAAGGAGGGAGAGGGAGTGGGAGAGGAAGAGAACAAGTGGAGAGGGAGGGAAGAAGCAAGGGAGAATGGGAGGGAAAGGAAAAGAAATATTCCATCATACCTTCCAGCAGCCAGGGTTGAAAACGCAATCTCACAGTACAAGGATTGATGGAGATGCAACATGTCATTGAAGAACTGCCAACTCCCATCATGACAGGCAACCTGTACAAGAGCAAGCCTCACCATCTGCTCCTCCTCCACCAGACGCCTCAGGCACTCCGTGCACATCAGATGCTGGTCGTTAGCGTGCTCATGCTGACTGTCTTCCTCGCCCTTATCCGCGCTCATCCTCATCCTCTGCCTCTCAAAGATCTCGAACAGTTTGCAACCTTGCGATGATGTCAACAGCCCCTGTACCCCCCGCCCGTCGCCATGGAAGTTCGGCTGCAGGGTGTCGATGCTGCAGATGTGCGGGACGAGGAAGGCTCTGTACTGGATGCAGGGCGTCTCCAGCATCAGGCTCACCTGCTCCCTCCTGCCAGGCACGACGAAGACGATGAGACCTGTCTCGTTGTGCAGCGGACAATCATGTTGTCTTGCAAACACGTAGCTGTCAGGTTGAACGTTCATCGCAACAGCGTCTTCCTTGGATATCTTCCATGCTGTGTGTGAACTCCCACTGAACTGCTTGAGAAAACTCTCGAAGAGGATAGCGAAGGAGGTAGAGTCTACCATGGCCTCTGCAAGCGATCCCTTGTCGCCCTCGGCCGACTTGGAGGCTGGCGATCGGAGCTCGACGAAGGCGGGCAGACATCGTTCGAGGGTGAGCGGGGAGTGATGGAGGAGACGGTGGACCGGTAGTTTGCAGTACTCTCTTGACCTGCCGTTAGCTTGCCGAACCTATGTATATCAATGATCAGCAGGAGATCGTGAGAAACAGCGGGAAACATGTCACAGAGCAATCAAGCAATCAGGTCCAGAGACGGCAAGCTGGTCATCACATCACATCGGAGCAAACAAGTGCATGAAAACGATCAACAAGTGGAGCACAAACTTGTTACAACTTCACCGTAAATGTAACATTGCGATTCTTTTCTGCTGGATACTCTGGAGGAGGGAATGGATTATGATTTCCCGTCGTGCTGGCTGAGCTCTCGCAGAAAGTCTTCAAGATATGTTGTGAAGCAATCCAAACACCAAGATCCCGGTCCTCCTCGCAGAACTTGGTGAACAGCGCATGCGGAAGGTTCAGCATCTGATCCCGCTGCTCTCCGCTCTCCCCCATCCCCTCCCCCTCCTCAGCCCGCTGCAACCGCAGCATGACATGCTCGGGATGCGGCTCAGTGTGCAAGATCAGGCTGATCTTCGACCCGTTCAGTTCCATCTTACACTCCATGATGACACAATCCTCCGCTTCCTCCAGGAACAGCGTTCTTCCTCCTCCTCCGGCTCCTCCTGCTCCTGCCACTGCTCCCGCTCCTGCTCCACCTCGCGACGCGGAACCCCCTGCTCCTGCTCCTGACCCCCCTGCTCCTGCTCCATCTTCTTGAGCTGCAGCAGGGAGGACGAGGATAAGGGAGACTGACACTCGCCGCTTCTCTCCGTCCTCCTCCTCCGAGCTGGATACCAGCAAGAAACCTTCCAGGTAGCGGAAGAAGAGGAGGAGGCGGAACATGTCGGTAGCGAGAGACTGGGAGGGGAGGGAGAAGGAGTAGGAGGGTGAGAAGGACAGGGATAGTCCTGGGCGGGATTGGAAGAGGAACTTGTGCTCGGAGGAAGTGTCAGCAGCATGGGGGAGGATATGGCGGTCAAGGAGCAGGGAGGCGATATCCCCGCAGAGGAGCCGGGGAGGGTCCGACCTGTCTTGGGAGACGAAGGAGGAGAGGGAGGAGAGGATAGCAATCCTTCTCTCCTTGTCCGTCTTGAAGAATGAAAGCCGGAGGGTGACGATGAACTTGGACTGGACGATCTGAAGGATACATGGCTGGGAAGAGACTCGGAGCTCTGGTAAGGAGACCCAGAAATGTCGTTCGTTCCTGCTGTCATGGCTGAGCTCAAGCAGGTCGCCGTGCTGGCTCCTGCCCCAGTCGTTGCAGAGCTGCGGAGAGCGTGAGCGAGATTTGAGGATTATAGAGATGTGATGATGATGATGATGATGATGATGATGATGATGATGATGATGATGATGATGATGATGATGATGATGATGAAGATGCCCGGGGATTGTTTTTTTTTTTTTTTTTTTTTTTTTTTTTTTTTTTTG